AAATGAACTGCAAAAGCAGTTCTGGGGGTTGGAGAGCGCAAGCAAGCAGGGGGGCGAAGCCTCCTAGTTATTAAATAAAACACAGAGATATCAGTTTATGTTATAAATTGTGTTAACGTGTTCATTTTAACTCATTCACGCTCAAGGATAATGATTAAACGCTTAATTTTAAAAAAAAATGGACTTTGAAATTTTTGATATAGGCTGAAGTTTCAAATGGATGATTTGAAACAAGGGTAATAATTTAATTAAAATCATTTAGTTTCTTACTAATGAAGTGCTTAAAAAGGTCTTCAATCAAAAGGGACCCACGTAAAATTTCAATGATCACTATAGGAATTCTCTATTCCATTACTTAAATGTAAAGTTATAAAATCGTGATTAACTTCAAACAATGACATAAAAATAAATAATAAGGCTTGTTACAAAATTTTCTAACAAGACTTTATTAATAATACATTGTTAAATGGCAAATAATTATAAGAGATCAGTTGTATCACAGTTATAACATGAACTGATTTTCTAAATATGCACTCTATAACAAAAAAAATCGACGCACCAAGAAGCAATCATCCGATTGCTTTGAAATTTCGTATGCATGAATGTTTTGAACAGATATGGCTGGAATGATGCCGACTGGGGACGTATAGTCTTTAGCGACGAATCCCACTTCCAACTGTGTCCTGACGATCATCGAAGACATGTTTGGAGACGCACAGGGCAGAGGGGGGATCCTGCTTTCACTATTGCACGCCACACCGGCCCTCAACAAGGCACTATGGTCAGGGGTGCCATTTCCTTTGACAGCCGGACCTCTTTGGTCGTCATTAGAGGTACACTTACTACACGTCGGTACGTCGACGACATCCTAAGACCTGTTTTGCTACCGTTCCTTTTGCAGCGCCCTGGGCTGGTTTTTCAGCAAGACAATGCCAGACCACATGCTGCACGTGTTGCTATGAACTGTCTGCAAGCTTGTCAAACTCTTCCTTGGCCTGCCAGACACCAGATCTCTCTCCCATCGAGCATGTCTGGAATATGATGGGAAGGCGATTGCATCTGGCGCGGAATGTTGATGACCTCGCTCGACAATTGGATTGAATTTGGCAGGAAATACTGCAAGAGACTATCCGGGAGCTTTATCGGTCTATGCCACGCCATGTGGCAGCTTGTATCCAGGATAGAGGCGGGTCAGCACCTTATTGAACTTGTTACTGTAACTCTGCAATAAATTATTCAATTGTTCTGAAATTTATTTCATTTACTATTCTGTACATTGTCTTCCTATCCACCAATTTTCGTTTCAATCGGACAACTCCTTCTTGGTGCGTCGATTCTTATAGAGTGTATTTACTTCAGATAGCTTAAGTTGAGTTTCATACAAAAGTTGCTGAGCATTTTCTAAATTATAAGAAATTGAAAGTTTTTTCGAAATGCATATATCTAAAATAATTTATATTTTTTTACAAAAAGTAAAATCAATTCCAATCACAGCCATGTAGAAAATTTTTTTTAAACAAACTTTGCATTATATGAGCAAAAATATCGATTAATAATAATAGTAAAAATGTGTCCCAAATTTGAATAAACATTAATAAAGGTATTAAAAATGTAAAAGAATGCTAAAAAAGGTATTTTTGCATGTTTATTTTTTTTTATTTATATCTGACGCCCGTGTTTAAAATAACATCTTTAATATCACTAATAGTTCACTAAATAATTTAAATAAAAAATACATTTTTAATACAAAATTAATTGAAGAATTGTCATTTTGTTACAGAAAGTCATACAGTTTTCGTTGCAGAAAGTTATACAGTTGCAAAACAGTTTTAAATAATATATCTTTAAAATGCTAAAGCTCAAAATCTTATAATAAATTGAAAACATAAGCAATTATCAAAAAACAGCAACAGGGTATGATAAAAATTCAAGTACAATTTCAAACTTTAAAAATACGAAAATTCCAGTCTAAAGTAACGAAAACAATAATAAAAATTTGAAGAGAATTAGACTAAGTACAATAATATGAAAAACTATATTTCTCTTTTCACATTGATAGAAAAAATAAGTGCTGCTTGATAAAATTTCACGGAATAAGTAATAACTTATGATAGAATAAAACAAAGACATAATTGTTGAAATAAAAGCTGTTTGCGATTGTCAATATTGTTTTCGATTTCAACGTTTTTTAGTATATTGAAACTGACACAGAAAACTGAAAGTAAACAAAATCTCTTCTGTTTGCGGTTGGAATAGTCGAGACCAATTATCGTGGCTCCCTTCTATAGGTGAGCATTAAATTTCCAAAACTTATTTCACTACTTTAATTTTAAATAAAAGAATTTACAAATTGGTTCGACAAATGCGTACTATAAAATGTTATATGTTGACTATTATTCAAGATGATTAAAGAGAAAGTTTTAAGGTGCGAAACTAACTTTTAAAATTTCTCTTTACTCTTTTATTAACAATTTTTTTTCAACAAAAGATGATTATTTATTATAAATGATATGGTTTTTTTGTCGTATATACTTTGAAATTAACGTTTGCTCTGTATACTTTCATTTAATCAGTACTAAGCATGTGTAAACACGTGTCCTAGTGGAGCTAGTGTAGACACAGGGTAGTGGGGCTAATGTGTACCCATACTAATGCGATTCAAATTTTAAAGGGAAAAAAATATGAATTGGATATAAATGTAATACATTTGATGATATTTGTTTTCTAAATTAAAATGATTTTGTAGAATAAAGCTCTTGCATTAAATGTTATTAGAAAATTTAAAAAAGACGTTTTATCAAGTTTTTTTAATAGAATATAATTCAATATAAATGGTCTAAGAGGAAAAAATTGCAACAATTAAAATTAAAACAGAATATCAGCGAACGATACCGTTTTTGCTTTTGCGAGTTGCTTCCATTGTTCCAATGAGCTAAATATAGCTAAGGCATGCACTCCGTGTGTTACCCATTCGTATCATTTCCTCATCAAGTTAAAACTATTTCCAATAACTCCAAATCGTATCTGTTCTTTTAAATAAATCAAATTGTGCGATGATTTTCAAATCTATTGATTTCCCTTCAAAGTGTGTTCTTTAGAATAGTGAAATGCTCCACTACAATTTAGTATTTTAATTAAATTATGTCAATATTTATGAATTGTTTTTGTAAGTTGAAATATGTTCGTAAAATTTAAATTTTAAATCGCGTGTATTTTCAAAAGATTTTCATATTTAATACATAATTAAAAACAATAAAAGAATACATACCACCACCTTAAATTATAGTAAAATCTGCCATAAATAACAACTGGAATGTAATGTAATAAAGAAAATTGTAAAAAAATATAAGTAATATTCAAAGGTTATCCTTTGTATTTAAAGATATTTTCTAAATGTATTGACAAGGAAAAGTTTGTCAGAAAACAAAGCATGGTCCGTAGAAACTATCGCTGTATATTCGAACTACATAGAGATGGTTTTAAATTAGATTCTAAAATTTATGAATTTTCGAGCTAACTTAAGCCAAGTTTATTATATAATATATATACAGTGGTGGCCAAAAATGTGTACATTTTTTGAAAGTTTCATGTTTTTCAACCTCGTGTGCTTGTAGTATTATCGTATATTAATTTTCACTTAAATACAAACGTTTATATATCAAATTAAAAGTAATTTAATGTAAAATTTAATAACAAAAACAGAATTAAAATATCTGTATTACAAAAAAAGTTATGCTCATTTTAGGTGAACAAACAAACACAAATCGTTTTGAATAAGGACGTGTTTTGTAATAAAAGCGTACTAGCCAATCAGAAACACTGTTCTTAGGACTAATCAAATATCTGCAGGATTTGCACTACAAGCTAGAATTCCAAGGAAAAAACTTTATTTAAATCAAAAGCAAAGCGAAAAATGAGTTAAGTGGGCAAAAGAACACATTAAATGGTCAGAAAACCAATGGAAGCAAGTAATCTGGAGCGATGAGAGTAAAATATCGCTCTTTGGTAGTGATGCTAGAAAATACGTGAGACATTCAGTAGGGGAAGCACTTCATCCTGATTGCATTGAAGCAACTACAAAAAACCCAACAAATGTCATGATTTGGGCATGTACGTCTGCAAATGGTGTGGGCCGAATTCAAGTGATTGATGGCATCCTGAATGCCAAAAAATACATTGAAACTGTCCTGAAACATATATTTCTCTCTACGNCTCTGTTCTAGAGCCACATTATTTTTAATGATTCATTCCCCACATTAAGAACCATTTTTTAAATCAATGCTTTCTTGCTAACTGATTAATTTGTTTTATGCAATGTACTCCTTCATTTAAAACTGATTAGTTATTACTTTTGTATTTTTGATGCTGGCATTTCAGTACAACTTATAGTTTGTCTATAGAAGAAACTTCACTAGCATTTCGTCTGGAACCATAATAGTGACTATGGTAATTATAATATGGTGTTATGGTAGCTATAACTATTCTCAGTAGAGGTTTAGAGTCACTGTTTAGGACAGGTTTTGGCTTGTGTTGGCAAAAGAAAGGGAATCTTTTTCTTCGGTCTATTGTGTCAGCCCTCTACGAGAGGAGCTACACTCCCTGAAATACGCTTTTCTTGTTTCCATAGCAACAGACGGCTACAGATTTTGTGGCGGGGGGAGTTCTTACCGTAGACAAACTATATAAACCTAACAGCACAATCTTCTTATTCTCACCTTCATTTAGGATTCCGCGGAGAATAGTCTTGTAAATATTCCAAAAATTAAACATGGTCTTATATATATATATATATATATATGCATCCAAAATTTTTGTATATAACATATACCATCACCAAAACTGTTTCTAAATATTTCTATTTTTTACTTACTACACAAAAATTTAAATTACGTTTAATAAACTAAATAAAATAAAGCTACGTAATAAAACCAAAGAAACAATAGCAATACAAAGGATATTCTTTTCTTTTCATGAACTTAATTCATGTCAACGTGTTCTACCAAACAAGATTTTTTTAGCGAATCAACAGCATTTTCAAGTATATCTTTTTGAATATTGGAATTGTTATGAGCAACTTCTGAAATGAGCTTGTCAATATCTTCAAGCTTGAGAAATTCTTTCATATACGAGCACAAAATATCCACAATTTTGCTATCATTTCCACTTTCCAGCGATTTATACATTTTAGAGCTAACTTCAGCCAAGTCTATTCCTTCCTCTGCGGGAATTAAACTCAATGAATTTACAAACTTTTCAAATTTATCCATAATCTTTAACGCTCTCACGCGAGATCTTAAACTGGAATTTTCACTCCTACCAAGAGAAGTATACTTTTCATTTTTTAGTTTTCTGATTGTAAAATCCAACAATAGCAACAAATTGTTAGTATTAATATTTTGAAGTAAATTATCAGCTGAAGTCGAAAAATAACTTCCGTTTGTTGATGAATGTCCCCCAATAGTTGGAATGGAATCTTCAACCAAGCTTGAAGGAGAGGCTTGAGGGAAATTTTTGGAAAAATGATGTAACGGGTCCACGTAGCCCTGCCCAACGACTGATTTTATGCTGCGTGAAAAACGACTAGATAACGGAGCGCTATAGGGACATGGAGTACCTTCTTCTTCTTTAGCAATACATTTTAAGACAACTGTTTCGTAAATTAATTTTACCAAACTATTATGATTATCATCATTTTCATTTGGATCGTTATTAGGATTGAATACAATATTAAACAGATCATTCACACTTAACTTTTTAAACACTTCAAGAGGCTCTAAACCATAATACTTCGTGTACTCAGCAGAGTCTTTGTTTTTAAGATAATGATACATAATACGAAAACTTTTTTCATGTGCCAATTCATGAAGGTATCTCCCTTCTTTCGTTGCGCGATCAACTACACTTGGAACTTTCTCTATAATCGCTCTCACGAAATTTAAGTTCATATCATCGATTGCAATCTGTATTGCTAAAATACCGTTACTGTCGGTTAATTTTACATTAACATTTGCGTCAAGCAACAAATCGAGAAAATCCGTTTTACGATATTTAACAGCTAAATGTAATGGAGTGGAGCCATCGTTAGACTGAGCATTTAAATTCGCGTTATTATTAATCAACAAAAGTAATGCGTCTGACTTGTTGCGCATCATGGCAAGATGTGCAGCAGTAAATCCATTATTTTCGATTTTAACATCTTTATCTGCTCCTTTATTTGCCAAACTATCAGCTGTTTGCAACTGTCCAGCAGCAATAGCAAGATGAAATGGAGTGATGTTACCATTCCCAGATAAATTTATGTCAACCCTTGTATCGTTCAGCAATAGCGAAGATACGTTTTCATTTTTGAAATATATTGCAAAATGAAGAGGAGTCCATTTATTTTTAATGGTGACTTTATTGATTTCAATATCTTCTCTTGAAAGTAGTTTCTTTACAATGAAGTATTTTCCAGACATTGCAGCAAAATGCAACGCTGTCATACCATCATCATTCGTTTCATTGATATCTTCCAACTTGGTGCTGTTGTACAAAGATTCCATTACTTTGGAAAATCCATTAAGGGCAGCTAAATGTAAAGGAGTTAAGCCTAATTTTGTTTTCGCACTGATTTGTATACCTTCCTTTTTAAGCAAGGCTCTTACGATTTTGGCATTACCTTTCTTGTGTGTAGCATGGTGCAAAGTTGAAAATCCTGCTCTGTCCACAGCATTTACATTTAATTTATTACTTGCCAGTATTTCCTTAACTGTCTCCAAGAATCCATTCTTGGCAGCGAGATGTAAAGGAGTCAGCTGATCTGCTTTTGTTTGGGTATTGACATCAGCATTGTGCTTAATGAGCTCTTGAACAAAAGTTTTTTGATTCGATTCAGCCGCTAAATGTAGTGGACTATACCCTTTCTTATCTTGAAAATTAATGTTTATCTTATTAAAAAGAAAATCCGTAGCAACCTTGTCATTACCAGCTAATGCTGCAGCGTGCATTAAATTTCGACCTTTTTCAAAAATAACATTAATATTAGCTCCTTTTCCAATTAGTAATTCCGTTTCATTATAAGCTAAGTCTTGATCTCCTCTTCCAGCAGCATTATAGAGATCCCTGTCGATGTCTCTAAATTTTGTTTCTGTTTTCTTTACAACGCCAACAAACTGAGTTAAACCATTATCGATTTTTCGGAATATTAACCTCTCTCTGCCATTGTTGTCTTGGGGAACTGTAATTGTTGGATTAGCTTTTATGCCAATTTCTTCTGTTTTAGACCAACTACTAAATTTAGAAAACTTATTTTTACTTCTTAACTGGACCGCATAACTTACAGTAGATTTATCTTTCCAATCACCATACTTTGAAGTAATATCAGGTGGTGTGAAGTCTATGTCCTTTACTTCAACTATTTCGTCCACATCTTCGATCATATTCAAGTCAATCTCTTGCAAGGTTTTCTCTAGATTCAGCAATGTGTCGACAGATATATCTTGGTACCATTCGTTTTTAACATTTTTAATGAAGTTTTTATTATTTACCTGTTTTACTATTTGAATAACATCGGAAAAAAGAGAATTTTTAAATTTTGTACTCATAGACTTAATAAGTCCAAACTGAGAGTTAAATTTATCAAAATTTCCCATCTCGTAATTATAGTTGGCAATGTAAGCATATTGTTTCATGAGATAGAACTTTACCAAAAAATATGTTTGCGTACCAAAAAACAAAGCAAACAGTGCTTGGAAAGCTTTATCATCAGAAGCATCGTCAGGAATTGCATAGTGATTATTCTTATCTATAAGTTCATATAGAGCTGAATATAGACTATTACCAGGGTCCGAGTAGTTTTCTAATGTGTGCAGAACACTGTTTTCCTTGCTTAATTCTTCGATATATTCATTTTTCTGATAATTGTTAAGTGATTGCCTAGTTTCTTCAAAATATCTAACGAAAGTATTTATTTTGTTTATTATTGCTTGAATCTCTTTATTTTCTATGGTATCGATTACAATTTTAAAACCTCGATACATTTGACTTTGGACATTATCGATTTTATTTAGAGTTTCACTTACCTTACGAGAAATTTCTTCCAACGCTTCCGTTTGTACATCTAGTTTCTTGTCGATATCACTAAATCGCTTATTCATGATCAATTTAATTTCGTCAAAATTGACATCATCACATTCGAGAGCTGTTGAAGTAATTTCAAAACCTGCTTGTGCAAGATGAGCTGCCATAGCAAAACCAGCGGCAGTCTTAGATGGATCAGGGATATCCCCTAAGAGATCACCTACCGTACCTGCTATCTTCGAACCATATTCAAGTTTCTTACAGAAACCTTTCTTTTCGTCTATCTTCTCCATAGCTGCTTCATACTCTTCATCAGTTTCTCTTTTTGCAAGGTAAGTCATCATACTTTTTGCAGGCATTTCAAAAAGCTATACTTAACAGGATCTATACTTCTTGAATATAGTTCTTTGCAAAAAATTTTAGATTACATTTATATATATAGATAGGTATGAACCACCTGTTTAAAAAAACAGTTGCTACCTATGCAACTCAAAACTTCTAGATTTATGAAATATTTTCCCCAATAAAACATATAAAAAAATTCCCCTCATTGTTTTTCATGAATTTGTGTCGAACTTTTTACTGAAGTCCATATATTTAGTAAGACAGATTGTCAGATAGCTTTTATAACGTCAGTTGTAATGTCACAATATTAACTTTATGTCTCATTTGTTTGATTCGAAAAAAGAAACATTTTTCTTCTTGAAAAACGTGTGATGTCTCTGATGTTCGAGAAATACAAATGTCATATGTTTTAGCATTGCTTTCAAAACGTTCTCAGTTTTTTTTTCGAAGAAATATCTCTTTATTATGATTGGCTATAAACCGCATGTTTCACTACCGAAAAAATGTTTCTAGTTCAAATATATAGTCTGGATATTTTTTAGACCAGCTTTTGAAAAAAAAAGATCTTCTAGATTTCGTTGAAATTATTTCAATTTAAAACTAGTAAAACTCAATATTTTGCAGCATAAATTGCCCAATACTAATTGTTTATTACAGTAATAATAAACCCTAATCATTTCTAATTTAGAATTAATAATTTCTAATTATTTCTAAACCGAAGCTATTATGATCTTTTATATAAAATCTTCCTCTCAAATCACTTTTAAACTTTTAAATATATTTATTTTAAGTCTTCCTTTACAATACGATTTTAATTTTTTTTTCAATTTCTTTTGGTTTAAAATTTTCAAAGTTTAATTGTTATTACTGTAGGTGACAGTACATACAATTGTTATTACTGTACAATAATATGGTTTATTTCTCAGATTGCTTAGAATATCTAAAACAAAATTTTTTCTAACTATACCGATAGTCTACTGGCCAAGTAATTGTATATACTAATTCTTAAATGCCAACTGATGAGATGTTTAAATTGTTTAAACATCCATTTGATTCACACTTGTGAAATACGAAGCAAACAATTTTACTGTGGTACAAAACTGAAACCATTATAAGCTTAAAAGTAATTAAAAAGTATATATTTATATCGCAGTTAAACAGATTTATTTTAGGTCGTTTGTAAGAACCCTTAAGTATGGAAGGTACACTGTAATTAGCCCTTTTAAAGACAAGTTAAAACAAGCTAAGCAAAATGAAACTTTTTAGAAAAGAATTTAAATAAAATGAATAATTTAAAAGTAAAACAATCTCAAAATAGAATTTCTAAACATCCCTTGGTAATCGTTATTGTTCACAAATAATTCTTGGAAAATATATTTAGAAAACTATATAAATAATAAAAGCGGTACAGCTTTTAAAGGAAATGATTATTAACATTATTCTTGCTCGATTATAATTTCTTATTTGCATGTCTTATACCCAAAAAAAGGGTAAGAAATATTTCAAGTAATTCATGATTTCCTAATGAAGTCTTCGAGTACGGAGTTAGTAATTCGAAAAATCAGCCTATAACATGCTAATTAATTTATGTTTAGTAATAATTAAACTAGTACTATCCTTAAATTATAGCTTTCACTAACTAAGTGTGACTTTTAAAAGGAATTTGCTTTTAAAGTTAACAAAAACAATATTCAGTAGTATATTGAAGTTTTTATCTTTTATATGTCATTTTTCGGTCCAAAGACTTCGGTCAAAATTAATCGCATTCAATTAAAACTGTTTTCCGTAATTTAAAATCAACTAATTTAAAAAGTTTTTTGAATTATTTATGCTTATGTAACTCCTAATTTATAAATCGCCTAATATTTCATGAAAATGTGTAAACAAATGTACCTGTATTAGGCCAATTTAGACTATTATAAATACAATTTGGTCACCTCTCACTAGAGTGAGAGGTGACTAAAATGACCAAAATTCTCCTGTGGTTCATAAGGTAACATTTAACAACAAAACGATTATGTGAAAACTAAGGTTAGAGCATTTGGAACGTCACATCATCTGAACTGCAAAAACTGTGATGTTGAATAAGCATACAGAATTGCAAAATATTTCTTTTCCAGTTAACACCAAATAGAGCTTTTATATGCAATTAAAAAGGTGTATAAAAGTTTTAAGCCACACACAATAGCTCCAACATCGCTCACCTTTACACCATATATTAAATCATTTCGCTTTCAAAAATTTTCTTGTTGAGTTGTTTTGATTTCGTCTGTAACTGTTTACAAATGGTTGACCACTGTTTGCGGTTGTCTTCAATATTGCTTTTCGTCTAACTAAAGTTCCCGGTTAAAAATGTGTATATGTGTTTTTACTTGTGTGATAAGGATATTTATATTTTAATATTTTCAAGTCTGTAAACTGTGTTAAATAATTTTATAATGTAAACTTTCCATCCTCCCCTGCTCTTTTAAGCCTAGCTCGAATTCGACTTTCTGCAATGCGCATGTTTGATTCACAAACTCATTTTTTTTTAAGAATTAATGTGTGTATGCAACCGAAGTTACTAATTCTTACTGTTGTCCCGAAAGAATAACATAACTGATTCTTATTTGTATCATATTCTGCTATTATAAATTTTAAAGTTATTAAATAAGAAGCATGGTGGTTGTTGGTGGCTACTTTGTAACAAATAGTGTAAAAGAACTTTCTGAGTTTTATACAACACTAAGGACTATTCTTGGATTTTGATGCAGCGAAACAACACATTAGTGTAAAGTAGTTGACACCATTTTTGGTATTTTGATACAAGAAATTTTTTTACAGTTTAGTCTTATTTATATGAAACACAAACACAACTATTACTGTGGCATTTTACTAGCAATTACCACTTTATTATTTCTCTAACTATAACTATGAGCTTCACGGATCAAAGTAGAACAGCTACTACAAATGCCTGCTCAATAGTGAGCTTACAAATTAGTTGTTTTCACACTGATAAAATATTGCTACAGAGAAACAATTCTGCCTCAGTCTTGATAATATTCTGATTGATTTTTTAGAGTTCTTGGAAAAAAAATAGCAACTGTTTTTATCCCAAACCTGTTTAAAGCGAATGGGCAAAGTTACACCATCCCCAATTCTTAATTTTAGTTTTTATTTTAGATCAGCAAGAATTAAGGAACGAACGTTCTGAATTTTCAAAGCACTTTTTCAAAAAAGGCATAGATTTAAATAATATATTTCTTACTTTTTTCTTATAAATTAAGCCTGTCCATATTGTTGGCGAAATTTTATATTTGTTGTATTTGAAATTTTATTTTAAAAATTGAAATTTTATATTCTGTAGCTATTTTTTTAATGCTCCGAATATAATAGTTTATGTTAGATCTTTTTCAGCAGCAAGTGATTCCAGCTATATAAAATTGTGCAGTTATCTTTTAAGTTGGCGAGTAGGATATGGAACCTACTAGCTACAACTTATATATCACTTGTTGTAACTCATCATTTTACGCAACTATTTCTTAAAGCTTGGAAATACATTCTACATTCTTAACATTCTTAACATTCGCTACATTCTTAATTTTTTTATGTGACACTATAACAGGTGAGTATTTTACAATAAATCGATTTGAAATTCCACATATTTTCCTTTGACATTAGACGTCATATAAAATCCCAAGCAAAACTCAAGTTGTAACATTTAAATAGTTTGATATTTAAAGACATTTCATCACATCTGCATTTTGAATGATATTTATTATGGAACAATTAAAGTATTTTTGTCACATATGTCAATAAAATAAATCACTGACAAACTGTCAGAGACAGATTGCAACCGTCAAGGGAAAAATATCTTTGTTTCAGGGTCGGGGATAATGTGTTCTAGAAAGAAACTATTTGGTAAATTTTAACTATTGCATATCATGCACTATATTAATGACTATTTGCATGCAATATAGTTTCTTTAAAATTTCGTTATGGTGAAACATACAAAATAGGTAAGTATAACATATTTGTTTTATTCTTAAAAAATATAGAAAAGCTTTTATATAGTACACATTTATGAAGAAAAGGAAAAAAAACAGATGAACCTGAATAATTTTTGAACCTAATGTTAATTTTATTTTTTTTGTGTATTTCGCTATATTTCGTAAATTTTTTAAGTGATTTGAAAAGTTGCTGCACAGAATTTTAAAAATTTTTTATCCAAAGATAACTTGATGCAAGAAATAAAGTTTAGTAAACATTTTTCTTTATTATTTTTATTTTAAAATTGTCAAAACAATTTTAAAATCTGAGGTTTAATATGTTTACATTGTTTTAAAGAATGTAATTTTTCAAGGCAATATACGAAATTTGTGCGAACTCTATCAAAGAGTTCCTGAGAAATCAAATTTTAAAAATGTCGTTTTTTTAAAAACTCGATTTCTCGACATTTGTTTTATTTTTTTAGCACAATTTTGGGTTTAAAACTATTAATGTTCAACTCGGTAGCCTTGTTATTTCGAACCCAATCCAGAAGACAAGGGAATTCCTAGATCAGGTTTTTGGAGAAATTTGCCTTTATGGAGCACTTTTTGATGGAACTAATCAACATTTGCGATACATGGAGAGGAAAACCACCATGGTTAGCTTGAAGGCAATGGGACTCTAATCCACGATCTCATGCAGTTTGTAAAAATATAAGAAATAATCAGTAACACGAAATATTTATTTAATATCCCGATTATAAAAGTTAATTATGATAGTTATCATTATTATTTTTTAATAAAGCATAATTTTTATTGTATTTCTGAAACTTATTCACCCTTTAATGACATAAAATTTTAATTTAATAGTTAATTATGACCATTATCATTATTTTTATCAAAAAAAATTTTTTTGTACAACTGAAACTTATTCACCCTTTAATGAAAAGAAAAATTATTATTTATGTAATTATTAAATTAGTACTCTTATAGCGATTATTGGCAATAATGTAATAATTTTTATTCGATACTGTTGTAAAAATGAATGTATTCAAATCATAACAGTGACTGCAACATACAGTTGTATTACATACCTTTGAACTATAACTTTCTCCAGCGGAATTCTATGATTTTGGAAAGAATACCCCATTGTTCCTCATCTACAAGTGTTTCGTTATATTCTGCTCTAAAGTTACAAAATTAAAAAAATGCCTTACAATCGTCTCATATTAACATTTAAAAAAATTGGTTTGAATGTGTATATATACATATATATAATAAAAAGAACTAATTCATACTGTAAAAAAACACAACGAAAACCTATTTTTAATAATGTAATCTTATTTGTGCACAATTGAAAAATAACAAATGTCTATCTATTTGAAAAAGAAAATTTGACTTTAATATTAAACAAAAACGAAAAGTAGTTAATTTCAATTACTTTAAATTAAACATCATAAAGCAGATTTATTGTATGAAACTAATAAACCATACTATTCTGAAAATTATTTGTTTAACTATTTGTTTGCTCTGAAAATGATTTGTTTTGGAATATTTTTAACTTTTTCTTCAGTGCCTTGATAATTAATTGATGCAGGATTTATTATTTCCTCGAAACACTGCAGATTATCGTAAGCATTAAAGTTTTTTATTTAAGCACATGCAATTTTGTTGTTGTTAAACATATGATAGTTAATTAAGCTAACTTTTGCTAACTCATGAATAAAATTATTATGAAGATTACTTTACTTGTTTTCACAGTTCCATTTTGTATTTTATTTATTCAGAGTAAAAATGATAATGCATAGCATATTAATTAAGCGCTAGATGAATTATACTTTGCTGATTGCATAATTTTCATCTTGACTGTTGTCTTTAAGTACTTTCTTTGTAGATTAATGCGTTTTTTACTCTATTTTATCCCGTCTGGTCTTTTTAATTGCCTGGTTAGTCAGTTAGTATATTTTGTCTGGCGTCTGGCTTAATCATTTTAACCCTTTATTACCAAACAAAATATCAATTCACATTAAATCACTTATTTCACTAATTGCATTTAATTAACATTGATGATTACCTTATATTCTTTCACATAATTATAACACACATAGTTATACTAATTGCATTTCATTCAGTTGTTGTAATTTATGTTATTGCTCATTGTATTCCATTTTTGCTCTTTATGAATTCTATATTGTTTTTTTCCACTGCATGTACACGATACGCGCGCGTAAATGTACACGATATTTCAAGGGAAACATTATACGTTTAATATATACTGGTAGATCCATACCTTTAGCAGATGTACAAAGTATTAATTTTGCTGTTCTTTCCCAATTTAAGCATTCTAATTATAGTTTCTTCGGTAAGAACGAAAACAAATTATCAAGAAATTTTAAAAAAATATTAATAAATATTTTTTAAGATGCAAGCCTAATTTATACTGTAAACCTTACCTTAAACTAGCTTTAACTATAAGGGATGTTCGGAAAAGTATTATTTTATCTTGTTGTGCTTAATATTCATATAAAAAAACGTTTAACGTCATTTAAAGTTAATTATAAATATGTCCATAAAGTGAAAATAATTTTTTAATTATCAGTTCCAAATTGATTTATAAAGTAATTTGGAATACTTGGATTTTTTTCAATTTTGAGTTAAACTACAAGCATAATTAAAACAAGTCATCTTTACTTTTAATACAAATTTAAAAAGTTCATTTATCGGCAACAAGTAATATTTGAAATAAATCTTGTTGTTTAGTAAAAGTATAATAGCCTATCTGAGCTATTTTAGTTAAGAAATAAGTCGAGGACAGGTATGTCAAGGTAGATTTTTTTTAAATTTAAATAATGCATTTTATAAATTACTTTAAAATGTTTGAATTAAATTTTCTAAATTTAATCTTATTATTATTTTTCTAATAAATAATATATCAATCCCATATGTTTGAAATACATATTGCATACGTGATCTGACTTTTACAAATATTGGATAGTTTTCATGTTGAATTAATCTTCTGCAAAGCTTATATTTGTTATTTTAACTAACAAAAAACTGTTTAGAAATCTTAATAAATAGCGAAATTTGAGGGAAATGTTTCAAACAAATTAAGTTTACAAATGAATGTCTAAGGCTTACATACAGCAACAATTGCAAAATTTATCGATCGTAAACATGTAAATAATTGCTAAGTAACTGACTGTTCAAATGTTTAATATTAGTTTCGAAAATACACATGTTAAGAATTATAATTCATTCCTTATCACAATATTAGTAATTCGTAATAATAGAATATTAACACAACATTCTCTGTTGCTTAAAAATCTATTGCTCATAGATTTATACATGGCAATAAAAGTTTTTATAAAGATATTCGCAAACAAGTGCATGGAATCTCCTTTACACCAAGCATCTTCCGTACTGTTGAGGTTGAGCTGATCGTGTTAGGCTTCAACACTTAAAATTGCAACGCAAGAAACAAACAAAGAAATGCAGGAACATGTATCGAAGTTGTATGACAAGTGCGATGTTCTAGAACTGTCACGAAAATAAGAATAATTCACGCGTAAACATGGATTTCAGACTATGTTTCAGTATTTTCTGTTTATACATCTATGAATTGCACGAGTATGTTCAGTGAAATCCAACAAAAAGGAAACCAACGACCAGCTAAAAAAATAGTTTCTGATAAATCAATAAATAGTGTAGAACCAGGAGTAAAGCTTTTGTGCAGACAGTATTGAAATGTTTCTAAAAGAGATAAACATGTAGAGATACTAGTGTTTGACGTCATAAAATAGATGCAGTGGTTGACATGTCAATAATTTTGCAGGAATATCTAAGTCAAAAAGATAGTGAGTGGGTGCGCTTGTACTATATAGGGAGTCTATTTTTGTGCTTATTGATATCATACCCTCTACCATTATTAGCGAGGAGAAAAAGAGTGTTTAAAGTGATAAAAAGGGTAAAATCATTTAAAAATTATTAAATTTCAATGAAACAATCACTTTTGCAAAGAATCACAAGTTTGAAAATGCTAAGTAACTTATCAAAATTTTTTCTTTATTTCTTAAGAATTTTATATGAATATGGGTTGTACAATCTTCGTCTATTACACTTCTGATTACACTTTAAATTTAAATAATTTAAATTAAGTACAAAAAATTATAATTTTAATTTGAAATCAAACAGAGCTTGTATATTCATTAAATTTTGATTGATTTATCTAAGTTTCTACTCAACGTTTGCATTAAGGTACTACTTTGGAATTATAAATTCGATGTTTCAATGATTTTTCGATAATTTATATCTCTAAATAACGGGATTTAATCAAATTTATTGCTTTATGGAAATCAATATGAAAATTTAAAAGTAATTAAACTTTAATTTTTACTGAATGGCTTAATATACTTGGTCTAAAATGTTGAAAAATATGGAAAATTACTTCTTAATCAAATATTAATTCATAAACTAAATTTTCAGTTCTTATTACATTACTTATATGTATGAATTTATCCAATACTCTCATATTATTTTCCTTTTTTTATTTCACATTGTCAAAAAATTCATTTAAAATTCTTCGCGTGAAGAAGAATGAAGTGCATTGCTACCAATTATGGACTTGTGAAAATGCAAAAATCCTGCTAAGTTAATTCATTCTATCAATATTTGTCATTCTTGTTTTCTGACATTATGCTACGTCTTCAAATGAATTATATATAAGTTAAAGAGGGCACATTATTGTTTGTTTGAAATTCGTCGAAATATAATTTAATTTTAATTTATGTGAAAATTAAGTTTATTATTTTTTTAAAAATTATTTTTAACAAAATTAGCAGTGATTTAAATTATGATTATCAAAATTAACAGTGATTGATTAGCAAAATTAGCAGTGACAATATTCAAAACCTTGTTCCGCTTATTTATTTCATATAAATCAAACAGGAGAAAAAACTGCTTATGATTGAAACTTTCTGTTTCCGTTTTCTTCAGATTTATTGCCAGAGTTTTTCCATATTCATAAGGTTTTTCCAATCTTAATTTTTGTTGACCAATATCGTAATATTTTTAAAGTAGATACAGAAATTAAACAGAAGTATTCAGTGAAAATTAAACGAAGAGAGGCGATACCAAAATTTCAAAAATTGGGACTTATTGAACCTTAATTTTAAATTTTAAAATGGTTTGAGTAAGTTTAAGAACAAGCGTGCAGATAATAAAGGAAAGCTTCAGCAAATATTGTTTGTTTTCCAAAGTTAACAGTAGTTTTGGCAAGTAATTTGCATTCTTACCACAAATTGATACCAGTATTATCACCTTTTTCCCGGCCGGATTCCATTAAGCAAGATTTAGTGAATAAATAGGCAGACTTCTCAAGACGTTTCTTCTGAACAAATTTCTTAGTTGATGGTAGAAACAGCTTTTTAATCCTCTCAGGATTGACTAAACCTTTTCCATAAGCACAAAGAAGCTTTGGAACCTGATATGCATTACCACTTGCAATGGCTTTGTAGACTTTTGAGTGTACTTCTGATAAATCAATCATCTCATCCACGGCTGTGTTATTTACAAGGTTGCTGAACTTTTCAACGATGTCTAACGACTGAGCTTGAGCTTCCAGATTTGATACTCCCCCATAAAGATTGTAATTATGTTTTTCGTTGGTGAGTCTTCTCACAAAAACATCCAATAAAATTAATAACCCATTCGTATCACCATTTTGTTTCATATAAATTTCAGATTTATAGAATGAATTTCCCTTTTCATTAATCCCTTGAATCTGAGGCTTGAATGCATCAGAACTCTTAATGGAACGAGTTTCCGGAGGAGGGTGCGTAATAGACCCTGACCGGTATGGAGTCATCATTAAAAACTTGTATTTGTCTGTTGTATCTTCCGGAATGAATAATTCATGTAAACATTCGATAAGTTTACTGTGAGTTTTCTCTTTCTCGATGCAGGGTTTTACTTCGTTTTCAAATATATTAGTTACTGTCGTGTTTGTAATATCTCGGTTATTAACAATTTCATCGTAAAACTCATATACTCCTAATTCGCGAAAAGCTTCGAAGGGAGATAAATTTTTGTATTTTCCATATTCCACTGAATCCTTATACTTGTAATAATGGTACATAATTCTAAATATGTATTCATCACAGAAAGCCAGAAGCTCCGTAGTGCGAAGCGCAGCCGCGCTGTTTCGTTTAAATTCTCTTATGATTTTGAAATCCATATTGATGGCTGCATATTGAATTGCGTGCAATTGAGCTTGATCATGTATCTTTGTGTTGGCTCCTTTGTTTAATAGAAGCTCCACTTGCTTAAGTTTGCCGAATTTGAAGCTAAATGTAAAGGAGTTGATCCATCGTGTGATACTACGTTAATATCTGCATTCATGTGTATTAGTTTCGAAAGGAATTCCGGATTTGCTTGCATAGCTGCTAGATGAAGAGGACGAAGACCTTCATTAGTCTGCGCCTCTATATTCGCTTGCTTTTCTAATAACTTTTCAAACACTTTAACTTGACCAGTTGCTATGGAAGCATGTAAAGGTGTGCCACTGTCTCTCGATGCTATATGCACTTCAGATTTTGTCACTAATTCAAACGCTACACCTTTCTTTTTAAAATATACAGCTGAGTACAATGGGGTCCAGCTAGCACTTGTTGACAATGCATTAACATCGATACTTGTTTGAGATAACAAGAAGTTTACCATATCATCATTCCCAGACATGGCTGCCATGTGCAAAGGAGTCATGTTATCCTCGTTTCCAGCATTAATATCAACTTTTCCACTTTTAATCAAAGCATCTGCTGCGTAGCGATCACCTTTCATGACAGCTAATTGAAATGGTGTGAATCCATTTTCAGACTTTGCATCAACTAAAATATCTTTGTGAGTAAGTAACTGATTAATAACTTTAACTCCACCATTGACAGCGAAATGTAGAGGAGTGTAACCTGATTTTTCAGGTTTATTAATTTCAATGGCTTCGTCTTTTATTAAGTTACGAACTGCTTTGAAGTGCCCTTCTCTGGCTGCTATGTGTAATGGAGTCAACTTATCTGAAAAAGTTTGTTCATTTACTTTCGCTCCATGTGTTATGAGCAGACTTATAAAACCTGAATTTCTTGTTTCTGCGGCCACGTGCATAGGGGTATACCCTTTTTGATCTTTCGCATCAACATTTATGGGTCCTGGTTTTACCGTTAAAGGAGCCTCATTTGTACCATTTCCATTGTCAGAAACCACAGTGTCGATCAAAAATCGTAATGCTACTAATACATTTCCACTTTCAGCAGCAGAATGCAGGAGCGTTCTACCTAGATCAAAAACAGCAGAAACATTAGCATTCTTTGATAACAGCATATCAATCTCTTTCATAGCTAAGCTTTGATCTTTTCTTTTAGCAGCATTGTAAAGATCTCTGTCAATATCTCTAAATTCGATTACATTCTTATCCAAAATGCCTATTAATTGAGGGGTATCATCATTAACCTTTCGATATACCAGTCGTTCTCTCCCTTGCTGGTCTTCGGGAACAATAAGGGTTGGATTCGCCTTGCCTTCTACTTTTAAAGGTTCTGACCACTCGCTAAATTTTGAGTAACTACCATTGCCTCTCAGTTGAACGGCATACCTGACTTTTGCCTTATTATCCCAGACACCATACTCAGACTTGATAATAGGCTTTTTGAATTCATAATCAGATATACCTTTTGGTGTGTCAAATATAATGCTCAGCTCCATCGACCTAATTTTTGATTTAAGTTCAAACAGTGCGTCCAATTGGCTTTCGATTTCTTTAAATGAACTAAGTTTAGCATCGCTGTAAAAAGGCTTATTTTTTACTCTTCTTAAGATGGCTTCAACTTTTTGAATCAGTGATGTAGGCTCTAACGAAAATTGTATTTCTGTATAACTCCGTAAAGGACCTTTACCCGTAAGAGAAGTCTGAAACTCCCTTAAGGTTGTCTTTAGTATTTCTATCTGGTTGTTGAATGCTGTAGTATCTCCTCTCTGGTAATAGTAGTCAGCGAGATATGTATGCTTCTGCAGAAGAAAAAACATGACTGAACCATATGTTTGTATCCCATATATCAAAGCGTATAAAGCTTGAAAAGATTTTGCATCTCCCGCGTCCTCAGGAATCGCATAGTTATAGGTTTCATCCATAAGTTTAAGTAAATCAGAATGTAACCCTTCTGGCGTCCTAATTTTTTTCAGGTAATCAAGTACACCGCCCTTTTCAGTCAATCTGAAAATGTATCCTTCTTTATCTAAACTGCTTAATTCGTCCCTTTTTTCTTCAAAATACCGAGAAAAACTGTAGATCCTGTTTACTACGCCCTCAATATCCATATTTTTTAAAGTAGCCAAAATGTTTTGAAAACCCTTATTCATTTCTTCTCTTGTTCTATCAACAAGCAACAAAGTTTCACTGACCTTTCGTGAAACCTCTTCCAAGGCTTCAGTCATCCTGTCAAGTTTCCGGTCAACTTCATTGAATCTCTTGTCCATAATCAACTTTATCTCATCAGTATTTACATCATCACACTCCAAAGTGGTTGCTTGAATGTTCATGCCGAACTGGGCTATGTGTGCCGCCATTGCTATCCCAGAGGCTGCTTTTTTCATTGTGTCGGTGACAAAAGGGATCTCTGGAATATCGTCAATCAGGTCAGTAACGAGACCCGTTACATGACCAGCGTATTCTAAAGCCTTGCAAGTCTGTTTACGATCTTCTATCTCCTGCATACCTTCTTCATATTCTGAATCTTCGTCTCTTTTCGTTACAGACAAAGCAGCAGCCATTTCTTCAACATGCACTTTTACACAAAGGTCGAGTTTTTGCAACGACTGAAGTATAAAGACGATTGAGAAAGAGGCATCGAAAAATATTCAATTTATATGTTTCAACACCGATTGCACTTGAAAGAATTTTCATAAATTAATCATACATAGCAATAAAACGTGTCAACATGTTTGAGAAGAAATATTGTAATGAACTGTGCATTCATTTTTCAAGAATGACATCTGTAATGGAAGATTGCATTGCTTTTTATGAATATTAATTTAATACTGAAAGTAATTATGGTTGTTCTATAATGTACCATCTGTATCATATCATTTAAAAAACAGTTGTGGAAATATGATGCGTCTTTCAACTCAGGAAAACTAATTAAAATCAGACATTTCATTTCCAGTTGTTGCACAGCAATGAAAACCGCGAATTAAATGGAAATGCAGAAAAAAGGGGCTTCTAATGAAAAGCATTCTAAATCCACACACAAGAATTTCTTAAAATAAATAGACAACATAATAGCTGTAAATTTTTGTGACTGAAATTATTTTTCCAGTATATAAATAGAATATTTTCAACAAATTTAGATTCTTATATAATAATTTTTTGATTCCTTGTGATTTTTAGATAAACGTTTTCATAAATATGGGACATTAAAATTTCTTTTAAACTTTGAATATCTTAATTTTCTAGTATTGATTCAATGTCTTTAACTTACTTTGTAGTTTTTTCTATATGATAATAATTGGAAAAAGCATAAAAACTCGAAATATTCCATAAAAATTAAGTTTTTATTTAATAGGACTGAAATTCAAAATAACCGTGCGATGCATGAAAAACACACGGCATTCTTGCAATTAAGTTCACACCCCTTTTTTACCACAACACTCAACATTATTTCGGAATGTTCTACTTCATGTTATTTTTTTCCTTAATTTTATGCCCATGAGATTGAACTTCGTGTTTGGAGAAAAAATTATTTAAAATCAGGGATGAATACCATGAGTGCCACCTTTAATATAAAAATCTTGCGAGTGAATCTTCACTTTAATCTGCACCTCTCTTTCTACAATTCGTTTTCCTCATATATTTCATTTATTACAATATCTTTTATTCTTAAATTTGCAATAAAAAATACTGAAGTTCTACTTAGGCAAAAAATATAAAATGATAATAATGGAAACCAGAATTTTAGTTTCTTAAAGCAAACAAATTTGCAATTAGTCAAATTCATAGCAGTATTACAATAAAAGTAATATTATAATATTATATTAATATAATAACGTCATAAAAATAATTTTAGCCAAATGATTAAGAAATAATTAGTATATCTAGCAATAGTATTTATGGATAATAATAAAAAATACCTTAAAAACATTTTTTTTTACAAATTGAACAATAATTTCACGAGGATCACATTTTGTATTAATTTTCATCGATTTCGTTGATTTATTTTCGTTGATTATTTTTCGTTGATTTATTTATTAATTTTTAGATATTTAAATATATTTGAAGTTGAAAGTAGCTAAAAGTTTTTAAAATGTATATTAGTCAGTAATAGACCATAATTGTTTTAAACTAAGTACATAACGTAGTAGAAATAAAAACATACTACATATTCCTAAGCTGGAAAAAGTATTTAAACAGAAGAGAGAGACAGAGAGGAATTCTTTTTTAAATTTAAATGTTATTTTTCTTTTTTCATTTTGGAATGAGTTTGTGTCACTCTAAACGTCTCCGCATGATATTGGTTATGATACGCGTACCACGTGCTGATTGTCTCTAATATAAACCGTTAAATTTTTATATGAGGGATTAGCAAAACAGGAAGGAAGGAAGAGTTAAGGAAGAAGAGTTTGTAGTTATTAAAAAAATAAATAGTTAAGAACGTTTATTTTTAAAATCTCTATTTATGTGAGCAATTCCATGATAAAAAAAAAGACGATAGGACAAAAAATAAACACTTACTACCATTCCTCCATTAACAAATATTTTTTATTAACTATTTCAAATATTGAATAACAAAAATGTACATTTAAATATTTTGTAATTAATAATAATAAAAAAATGCTTAAAATAGTTTTAATAGTGTCCGTATTTGTAGCATCAGTCGTGCAAAAATTGTAAAATCAGTCACAAAAGCTTTTTTTCGATTTGTCCCTTTTAAGGGCATTTTTTGTGTACAGTGCGCAAAAAAAAAAGATATCACCCTGAATAACTTTCGTTCTAATGATCGGATTTTCACGAACTAAAAGTCAATCTTAATGGTTCCCGGGGGTGACCTCAAATATGCTAATTAATTAGTGCTAACTATTAATTAAGTTACGAAATCAGACACAAAAACGTACTTTCTCTGAATAAACAT